AGCTCCCAGGACAAATTTCAGTGTTTCTATGGTGCTTTTGCTTTTTCTCCTCACTAAAGTTCCTCATCGCACTTCTTGTCTAGCTTTTGAACAAAATAATACACCGATTTCGATCCCGACTCGTGCCTTTAATCTTGCCTTTGGGCATGTTATATGAATTCCCAGAGATGCTGTTTGAATAATTTTCCAAATTTTCGATGAATTTTGTAGCGGAAACGATGGAAGAAGCTGGACCATCTATAACAGTAACATCACTGACGAACATTCTTTCATTTGCAATTGGTATTCTGACTCCAACACCTGCAATTTCCATCTTCTGCCTTTATACTTGTGTGGGAGTCGCTGTCGACTTTGTCTACCAGGTGAGCTTTGGAGCTTTATCCTTACGTTGTGCGCTCGGTCTGTGGTTTGTTAAGATGGGCCACAAAAGCTCCTTGTAAGGGGAGATTACAGTAGAAGGGAACTAGAATAGGTTAATTTGGTATAATCGTGATTTGAAGAATCGTATTACATATGTATAATCGTCTTAGTCTCTGTTTGTTGTGCCGTCTGTCCCGAAAATTGCTATTAGCTGGAGAATAATCTGGAAATCCGAGTCATGTTTGAAATGAGTAAGGCCTAGGCCAAGCCGTATGGAGCTTATAGTAAGTGGCCGCCCTTTTGTAAACGGGGCAGGCGCCAAAATAGACGGTCGAGAGCAAAGTTTCCTATTCGCCCAGATTCCATAATTGCCCGAAAAACCAGAAAAAATCGGTGAAGTCCCCTGGTTTTGAGGTCAGGTCGAGAGACCCATGCACTATGGGCGAGGGTTGTTCAGCTGGATGGTGCTTACCGAAAAACAATCGAACCTGGTCATAAGACACCTAGAAACAAGCAGGATAAGCAATATCTCACAGTATAATTGGGCGGGGTTCCTTACAAAACGTCACGATTTGAGAGGCCTGAGAAACGAGAAGGGAGGCTTTTGAATGTTAGTGGTGGGCGGTTGTTCATTGAAGGTGGGTGAGGTAAACTTGAGAATTTTGGTGGCCTGTTCCTTACTGTTAAAGGGCCATATAAGGGCTCACAGTAGCGTACGGTGCCGAGCTGGTGAATTTATTAGTTATTTCTCACTGAACTGTTCTGACAGCCTTATCTTCATCTTTCACAGTTTCTCTCTAGCTCACCTTCTTTGTGGCAGCGCTTGTATATGAGGAGATGCGAATTGCAGAGCCAGAGAAACCGCCGATTACTGATGTGGCCCAATGCGAAGGATGTGGTAAGTAGGATTGCCTCTCATTTTTCAAGACAGCCTGAGCCAAAAAAAGAAGGGGTCATTCAACGTTAAGTTAACAAACGTAGCTAGATCATCATCTGAAGCGGTTGCTAGTTAGCAGCGAAGTTAAAGGCAGGTGGCACGGTGGACTGGCTTTTGAAGGAGGATGATAGCCCACTGAATGGAGCTGGTCCCATAGGAAATGGCGCATTCGCTCGCGGTGGAGGAGGCTCTTGCAATAACGTAGCAATGCTTTTTTCTTCCTTCGAACGTCTTTTTCTCCTTCCCACCCACGCATTGGCTACCCCAGCTGCTGCTCTCTTACCGTCGGACTCTAGCCGTTTAGCACAGCAGGCAGAGGAGGCCGCAGAGCGTTCATGTTGATGACTCCACTAATGTGACTTGCCCTTGACGACAGTCAGCGAAAAAAAAAAACACGGGCCTTTTTTTCGGGTTTAGGCCGTCTCCCTCAGTTTTTCTCCAGCTTTGCATCTTTTAGATTTCTACTTTCACTGACAGCGGAAGACTAATTTGCAGTAACCCCTGCATTTGAATGATATTCATTAGTTACCAATTATTTCTCATTGCCGAAATTTAACGCTGGCAATGCGGCCACAACAACGCCACATCGCACTCACACATGTGTACGTAAATGCCCTATCCACTCTTCAGCTATACCTTCCTGACCTACGGAAAGCGGTAGTTGCGGTATTCCGCTGGCTCGCTTCATTCTGAATCCTATTAAATCTTCCCTCCATAACATAGCTGTATCGATGAGTTGAAACTGATTGTAGCTAAGCTGGATGTACTTCTGAAAGAAATTTACGCCTGCATAATCGCACTCATTTGTTTAAGGTGGCAGCCAAATTGTCTGTACGATCGGTGCATCCAGCAGATCCGAACGGTATTGTGCTAAATATTGTAGAGTACTCAAAATGAGAGTGGTGAGTGGAATTTTCTCGTTTTTCTCCCCCGTAATTCCGAATTTGCCCCTATGCTCAGTAATCAGTACAGCCGCATTGCTTTGAGAGCTGCAGATTTTTTTGAGAGTCATTTGTTTTGAAATTGTGCCATTAGGTCCATGTCCTTCTCTGCACATCATCACATCTTGTTCATCTGTTCTTTTCTCTACTTTTGTACCAGAAAATGCCAGACAATTTTTTGGTGGAGATATTATAATCATAGTTCTTGCTTCTGCCACCAAAATAATACCCGTTGCGGTTAGGGTGATTTTCCTGGTGGAGTTCCAAATGTTTTTTTTTGAGTCTCTGAAGATTTTTCAAGAAGGTCGTTGTATTTCGATCCTAATTTCGTATTTTAGACTCGACTATTGCTCTTGGTCGTTCTTAATTGGCTACTGGTTAGCGTCTCTTTACGGCTGCCTGAAAATGGAAATACGCATGGACACTACGAACCTTATAATGAAAGATAGTCCACTGCACAACGTGGCCTACATTTACGAGAATTTCCTGTGGAAAGAAGGACAGCTCGTGAGGTTTTCTTTGTTGTTCGAGAATTAGAGAAATATATAATTCACCCTAAATTCAGACCCCAAAATTTACGTTTTGAAAAGGTTGGAAGTTTATTAGCGCTACTACCGAAGGCGATCTCTCTCTTTGTGTGTTGTCTTATTGACTACTAAATACCTCTATTTCCTTTGCATAGATCTGTTTTGGTTTTTTTTCTGTTGAGACACTACTACTCGACTCGCCAAAATTTCCCTTTTATAAAAAGACATACCAGGCTGCTTCCAGTCCCACTGATTTGTTATTTAACTGTATTCTCAACGAAAATGATTAAACGGCTCCTTCAGGAAGGGCCAAACGTCCGTTTGAACACGGGACTGCATTTCCATTTTCCGGTGTTTGTAGTAATAGGCTGGGGTCAAAGTCCGCGATTCGTCGCGCGATTCACGTGAATCACGCGACGGATCACAGAAATCACAAGTGCCCGATCAATACTGCGAGGTGCTCTCCAATCCCGCCGCCATTCCTGCTTGATGGTGATGGTTGAATGACGACTGTTCATGATTCCACTTGTTTCATATTCAGTGTTTCAAATGTTCAAATGGGGCACTTGCAATTTTTGCGATTCGCGCGAATCGCGCAAATCGGATCGCGTACTTTGACACCAGCCTTCTGGAGATTTTAGGGGGGGGGCTGCCCTGATGGAGCTTGACTGGGTCGCATTTGTAGTCCAATCCAAGTTTCACCGAAAACAAAAGGCCTGGCACTGAAACGAAATAGATGTCGAATTAGCAGTTTAAAGGATGGGGTTTGAACTGCGCTCAGAATCTAAACACTGCGTAGAATCAGTTATGGGTCAAAGAGGTTGTGCATGGTGAGAAGGAGGTCTGCATGGGTGCATATGGGGCTCCTTTCCAGCTTTGGGTTGATGGGTGCACTGTAGGGGACTCTTCCCTGAGGGCTTGCACGGATCGCGATTTCATCACCGCATGCCTGTACAGATAAGTTACCTCTAAAAAAACGCCGAGAAGTAGTTTCTAGCTGGTAACATCGAAAACGAAAGGAATATGAGCCCTTTAACAAAGAATTCATGGCTAATATTCTTGAGTGTATCTTGAATTTTCAATAAATCGAATTCGGTTTAGGTTTTGGTTTTTGTGAACAATCCTCCTGATCTCTCAATTGAACATAATCAACGGCGTATGCTTGGTCTGGTTAGTGAATTCGAAGGTTTGCGCTATTCGATGGGGAAGAATTCAACGTCTTTCTGGCTACGATCGTTTTTGTACCAGTCGGCACTTTATCAGACCAAAGAAGGATTCTATTCGATACTAGACGAATGGCTTCAGGTACGAATATTTTTGAAGGAAATGTCTTTTATCTCTTAGTTCGCTCCTACACATTTAGTTACTTCAGTTCAAAAAAAAATCAATCAAGCAAATTTAGGCGCTATCGCAAGATGCGGGGGCGCATTATCTAGGACTGGGCCTAGGAGGGGACGGGAACTCTATGGAACATGAACATGATCTATGCCGCCCTGGAGCCTCCCACCACACAAGGCTAGTCTTGTTTCACAAAAGGAGATGTCTCACGCTATTTTGAGTGTATTGCCATCACAATGCTCCGTATCCTGCAATAGCGTCCAAAATCTATTCTAGCGTGAAAAATCTGTAGGAGTAAATATGCACGCTTTTTGCCAATGCACCACTTACCAGGAAGGTCTTTCAGGGCGTGACAAGCTTTTTGAAAACGGTCTTTTGCATGATATAGGGGCAGATGCGGGAACCACAGAACCATGTTTAATTTTTCCTGAACGGCCCTCTGAATACCAGAAAAGGGGTCCCTAGTTCGATTCCTCGTGGTGACAAATTTTTGCATTTCGAGTTGACGTTCCAAAATTCGCGCAAAATGGAGTTAGCATGAATAATTAGTACCATATTCATGATTAGGACCGTCAGTAACCCTTACAAATAGACTTTGATTAAAAACTGGTGAAAAAGGTGTGACACCACAGTGGGGCTGCTTGATGTCACACCTCTCACACCAATTTTTAAGTCAAAGTCTTTTTGTAGGGGTTACTGACGGCCCTAATCATGAATATGGTACTAATTATTCATGCTAACTCCATTTTGCGCGAATTTTGGAACGTCAACTCGAAATGCAAAAATTTGTCACCACGAGGAATCGAACTAGGGACCCCTTTTCTGGTATTCAGAGGGCCGTTCAGGAAAAATTAAACATGGTTCTGTGGTCCCGCATCTGCCCCTATATCATGCAAAAGACCGTTTTCAAAAAGCTTGTCACGCCCTGAAAGACCTTCCTGGTTAGATACTAGAATTCTGTATTGAGGTTTTATCTGAAGTGTCAATTTAGGACAAAGAAAATGGCGGGTCAAGATGGAATGACATGGTGGCGGCTCCAGCGTAACATGAGTGGTGCTGTCGTTGGAGTGAATAAGTAATTTTTCATCGTTTTTTCTTGAGTATTTTGAAAACTACGAAGCACTCCACCATAGACCTTCCCAGGCATTTATTGATCGATGAATCAAGTGGAATGATCCCAATTCGTCCTCTCTGTCGATTTTTTATAATTTCGCACTTACTCATGCACTGGGTCAACCGTATACCCGTATTCTTTGTCGCAGCATGTTCCCTGGAATAAGTGACTTACTCCATTGGATGAGCTTCACATATTCATAGCCTTTTGGACGGCGCCCGCGATCACACGCACAAAATGGTATCCCGGTTATGTGGCAGCGGGCGGCATCGATAATTCTCAAGTTGCCTCAGGCCGTCATTACGCACTTGTGGACCTCGTTACCCATTCTAACGCATTTACTTGCGCCATTTCCGCGGTCTCTAGGCTGTTGTTTCGGAAACAAAGTCATAAGGTCTCGTAGGCGGAGCTCATCCTTTTTTGCCGGACTCTCCATCATCATCCACCTACCCAATGACATTCGATGCTCGCTCTATTTCGTTACATTATCCCTTCTTTCTAGCCTCTGGGCCTTTCTCAATTGACCTATGAAGATTTTCAGAAAGCCCCGCCCACATAAGGGCACGCCCCGCCCACTGTGGCAAGCCTTCACTCAGCTTGTGTGTGGTACACTTGAGAGATTCCCCGTTTACACTTTTGTTGAGTAGATTTTCTTACAGCCAGTGAATTCTTTGGTATGCATCAAATATTTAACGAACCTTTCACCTATTGTGAGTGGATGTCCCTAAGTTCCCCAACCGAAATCTGTCCCAAAATTCTCTTTGTGCTTTTGTCTTTGTTTTACCCACTGTTGGCTGAGCAAACAACGACTTTCGATATTCCGAAGAATTGACCGCCTCAGTAAGCAAAACGTTTCTTGATAATGAACAAACAATATTAAGGTTTATGTTTGCGACGGCTGCAGCGATGGGTGAGGAAGCGAGTTGGAATACCAGAGCTCGTCTACAGCATGCTTGGAGAGCCGTCGCCAAACGCAACGAACAATTTAATGTCACCATATTTCAGGTTTCTAAAGTAACTATGCGTCGATATCGTTTTTATCACGCACTATTGTCAAGCGTATTCGGTTTACCGTATGACTCAGTTTGATCTGCCATCGGTAGCAACACTATCTCGACAGTGATTGTCGCTGCTATCACAATGGATCTGGCTTGTTTCCTTATGATTCCTCATGCTAGTTCGATTATATCAAGGTAATGTTTGTAATCTTTTCCTTGTTCTACGCTTCAGTAATTCCAGCCTCTCAAAGTCTTCCAGCTGTAACTGAAAAAAATTTAATTGCTATGTTTTCATACATAACATAGTTTTTGCCTACCTGCTCCAGTTACTCATTGTTTCCGAAATCAGTTGTGTCTGCAGTGCAGCCCAAACAATAAGACGAGGTCCCAAACGAAAAAAGTTCTGATTTAAATTTTGATAGTTTTATTAATCACAGTGCTGATAGTTGGTAAGCGTCAATAGTGACAATGAGCAAAATGCAACCTCACGCTTGTAGGCAGGTTTTGAAAATGAATTTTTACCTCGGTTATGGAAACTTTGAGTGCTCTAACTCTAGTTACGCTGCGAGCCCTCTCTCCCCCCCCTAGCACACTAGAACATGCAACTGGGAACGGCTGTTCCTTTCGCTGGCATCATCACATTGTGGAGACAGTCGTCACTTGTGTTGTTTGCTGTGCACTGCAGACGCATCTGGCTGTCGGATACAAGGGCATTTATTACTCATATTGAACGGTGCCTGTCATTTCCAGCACAATCGCTATGATATCCATAAACGTGGGCGTGTTTGGTCTACTTTCCCTATGGAACGTGAATCTGGATCCGATATCGATGTGCACAACATTGATGAGTATAGGCTTTTCCGTCGACTTTACTGGTACAGTCTTTTTCTGAAGATAATTTATTAACCTTTGGGACAAAATGAATCAATAAACTAATTAGAAATATATCCTCGTATTACTTAGTGTTTTTTTCAGCCTCTATATAAGCTACCACTTCTATAGAAATCCAGCCTCTTGGACAACGGATGAACGATTAGCGGATGCCTTGAGGTAATAGCTCCAATGTTGTCATGTCGTCATCATTGTTACTTTGTTCAAAACACCACGGGGAGCGCAAGTCTAACGAGGACTTGTGGGAGCTGGAACTGGGCGAGGCTACTCTGAGGGCCCCTGCGAGCGTTTGGCAAGAAATTTGAGAGAGAAAAGGTCGACAACCCAAGAAACATCACCGCCCGTTGGCTTCGGAAGTGGACGAGTTTACCGCTAAAACAGTGGTCGTTCGGGTAAAGTTGAACATTGGCACCATGGCTGTGCAGATGCTGCACAGCTGCAACAGTGCACTTAGAAAGGAATGTAAAGAGTGATGACGATAATGGCTTCATTTGGAATAACTTGCTGTTCTCGCCCCTTTCACGTGCGTATGGTGGGCGTGTCTGGGACCGAAGGGATTTTTGAAGCACCTTCAACCGCTTCTATGGCGTTGATAGCGCGCCTTCCGCCACAAAGCGGCACTCTTTTTTACGTGGAAAATACGCTACCCTCCTCTGTATCCACCATTCTATTTTGTTAACATCCGTTTTATCGCAATTTTTTGCCCTCGAATTTCAGGTCAATCGGGTGGCCGATGATACAAGCAGGTTGTTCAACAATTCTCTGTATCTCTGCTCTTTTGCTAATCGACTCTTATATGGTATATGTGTTCACGAAGACCATTTATCTCGTTATCAGTCTTGGCCTTTTGCATGGAATCGTTTTTCTTCCGGCGCTACTACTGACGGTATCTAAATACTTCGATTTCTGTGCTGATATAAAAGATTTACAGATATAACGGCCATTTTCAGATCAGCAGCAATGAACCTAATGAAAGGGAAATCGTTCCATATGTGATCGGCAAGGGAGTCACCATGGAAATAAAAGAAATTCCGCGCACTCAACAAAACCAAAATCGGTCAAGACCTTGTACGTGGTTTTTATTATGTATTTATTTGTTTATTTATTTGTTCATTCACTTCTTTTTATTTATTTATTTTAAAATGTTGAAAAGATTTGAATAACTTCCAATTGTTTTTGTCAAAAATGTTCTCACAACTGATAAGTGGAAGGGCAGTTATCACAGGATACTCAAACAGAGCACTCTTGCCCGGAAACGAGGTGGGTTCGAACCCATGTTGGGATTTGAATGGAATTCTCAACTCAGATTTTGTGATAACTTTCGTGGCCTAACTGCGACCAACAAACGTGGCTATGCAGTTGAAAACAAGTAAAATAAAGATCGGACTATAAATGTTATTTTCTGGCATCGGGCCTTCTGAGTGGAGCTCTATTAGTGACCTAGGACATCCGACGAAATCGTCTTCCTGGAGATCTATTCATTTAATTGGATACTAACCATAAACCATGGGCGGAAGTGGTGCAGTGGCAAGTGGCACGCTTACCACCGGTCCGGAATCAGAATCCTGGGTCGTGAGTCGCCAGGGCCAATCGGCAGGCCCCCGCAAGTCATTGTATAGGCCACATCGCATTCAAACGCCACTACGAATGTACAAAATGGAAGTAGAATGCGTGCCGCATCCCAAAAAGGGATTGATCAACGGCAAATGCTTTATCCTTTATCCTTTTATACCCCGTAACTGACCCGCGAACGTAACGTAATGCTGTTTTTCTCTTGCGGTGATCACTCCTTTGAGGAAGACGATCTCCTCGAAACGTCAAACCGCCAATAAAGTCTCATCTTAGAAACCTCGTTGACAGAAGATTAAATTATAGTTTACATTGAGACGCGAGCCTAAAGAAGAAAGAGCTGGAATTGAGAAAAAAGGATTATTTTTCAGCACCGCACGATGGAGTGGCTCCAACGATTCTCCAGCATAGGCGAGAACAAGGCTAAAACTGCACTGCTAGAAGCTGAAACAGGTCAGTAGAATCTCAATGTTGTATATTTTCTTCATCAAGTTGCCTCACACGTCATCACTCCGGTGGCTCCCCAGTTCATCTGTACATGTAATTACAATATAATTTATTCGCAGTTTTCTCCTCTCCTATTTCGCATGAAATTAGTGATTTTTTTAGCTGACCAAAGTTCTCTGTTCCAAATGCACTGATTTGTTAGGTGGTAAATTGCTTTAGTTGTTTTTCATAGGTTTTCTTAGTGAAGTAATACTAATTTCAAACTAATAAAAGTTTGATCGTGCCACATCGTTTCCGAGACAGTTGTCTGTCACTTCGTACCTAAAAAGAATGCCATTGCTAGGTTGTACAAAGGGGCAACTGTCCGTTGTGCCAATTTCAAAAATCTTCTTACGTTCCACTTCTCAAGGCAGTAGTAAGCCGATAGATTGAAGGGCGGAGCGTTTTAAGGTGCTTGGTGGAAAGGTGCTCGGTGTGGTTCATCAACCACACCCCCGCACAGTGTATGGAGACATGCAAAATCGACACCTCCTGCTATCCGTGTTTCCCTGCTATGATGAGCATGCTAAATCGACCTCGCATCCACCTCACACCCTTTGTCACTCTCACGCCAACTCCGGCCACATTGCATGCACCTAAGTTTTTGGTTCTGATCTCCGGACACACTCCCCGCCTTCTTTTTTCCTCGCAGGCCGTCGAGAGGGACGCCGATGGGGGGGGGGGCGCTAGTATGTCCGTGGCTGTGGGGTGCTCTAGGCTTCTTCTGCCTTCACAACTTTTTTCTAAATTTTCCATTCGAAGCCACTGTAAAAAAAAAATCCAAAACCGCGCAATCCTCTCCGAAAAATCTCAAAACGCTAACCGCTGTCACCCCATCAAGAACACACAAAATGCAAAACTACAGCATGTCCCTCGCCCAGCTCTCGGGCAACCCTCTCACACTCCCCTCCGGTTGGCTAGGTTATCCCCGGCTGGTTGATTCATACTGGTCCACCGCTATTACATAATCGTGACTGTCAAAGAATGTGTTTTTTTTTGAACTGCGTATGTGAATACTCATGTCGATATGTACCATTTACAGGGAAAAATTGGCGAAAGGAAAATTGTTTTTAGTTTTAGTCATGACCGGGAGAGGTGTGCGGTTTTCGCTTATTGAGGCGTCATTACAAACTCTCAGATTAAGTCATGGTGCAATCCAGTATTTTGTTCAGCCTCCGTCCCTCACGCAGAGCTGTGACGATCAGGACTTTAGATGATGCAGGTAATTATTGGCCCACTCTGTTATTTGATGATGGTTATCTCTAAAAACCTTTACTGGCAATCGATCAAGGAAAACAGAATGATTTCATGAAAGAAAATTTTGAAATTTCATAAATAAACATCTTGGCCCTACTGGAGGTCTTTCCTCGGGTGCTGTGAACTGCAACAATGTGATTACAGTGGAATCAGGGTTTAAACTTCGGATGCAGATAATGAGGCTTCTTTATGTTATGAATTGCTCTGATTTTGGCTTCTGAGCACTACGAACAGAATTCCAAGAATTAAGGAATGTGCGTGGACTCCACCGCTTTCAAAAGAACTGAACGTCTCGTATAAAATATATGAGTATACTAGTATGTTTTTAAAGGCACGAGTCAGGCTCAGTGGACCAAACCAATCCCTTTTGTCGTCTTTGTGCATGGCTACGCACCCACAGAGACGTTACCATGCTCAGAATCCCAAACGGCGCCGTAATAAGGCTCCAGGGCACGTATTAAGCGCTTTCGCCGCCTGGCGGCGCTCCGACCGCCCACCTCCGGAAGTGGTGCGTGGCTGGCATAACGTGTGAAATCAGCTAGGTTGATTGCCGTATCAACCGATAGAACGACTGACATCTCCAGAAAACTTGTTTGTACGTGCCTCTTTCCCCAAGCCAGCCTCCTTCACTGCTAGTGGGAAAGAGGGTTTTGTTAACGGCCTTGTCGACGGTTTTTCTCAGTTTTTTCTCCACTGTCGTTCCACTTCGCATCTCTATACTCAGTTTCAATCGCCATAATACCCCCTTATTGAGCCCGACTTTTGCCTTTAAGGCTAAGGCACGCAGAGTTCGTGTGAAAGATTCTGCGGTTTGTAGGAAGGAGCCCTGGTGGGTAATCACAAATGTGGCATACCCCCTGGCACCGGAATTTTTCGAAAGGCGCTAGGGTCTTGCAAAGTAAGCTGCAGCCGCTGCAGTTTCTTCTTCGTTTGTCAGGCTTGTCCGGCGCCCTCTCATCTGATGCACTCTCTCGCGTCATGCTCTCCCTTCCCCTCAATCTCTCATTGCCTTAGCAGTGCCCGCTTATTGCAAAAGTGAGTAAACCTTATCTGATGTTTTCACGGATTCTTTCCTGTTTTTCACGGAATTCCTTCCTTTTTTTCTTTAATTACGGCCTACTCCGCACCAGCACCTTTTATTCGTGTGCAAGAACCACAGCAATTTGTTGCTGAGGCATACCTTTAAAGGAGTAAGCCCTACTATGACTGATCTTTTCTGACCTATCCATGCCCAACTGTTCGTCTACTTTCAAACCAATAAGGTAACTCATTATGAAGACTTATTGTTCTTATAGCGTGGAGACTGAGGTAAACGATGCCAGTTCCCACACGCATGCTTCGGGGATCAAATCTGGATCGAATCTAGCCCAGGTCCGATTCTTCCATCTCTCCTGGATCGGCCAGTTGGTATCAGAATTGCCTAGGAGGGCAAATACAGTGGCATGTATATCGATTGGCCCCAAAAATCGTTGTGTAGGCCAAATCGCATTCATAGTGCCACTAATGGTAAGACTCAGAATGGGAGTAAATTGTGACGCGTCTTGAAAAGGCTTGGTTAAAGCCGGGGCTTCATTCCTTACCCTCTTTTATATAGGGCCGGGCGACACTTGTAGATGAAATGTGTCCGGGCGACACTTGTGGATTGAAATGGGTGTCTTTTCACTGCGGAGTTCGATGTGCCCTAAAGCTGTGCCAAAACGCCTAGGAATGCTGAGTCAAGCACCTTGAACAGCCGTGCGTAGGCGGCAATGGTCCAAGGGTGCACAGGTTTTGGTCGTAGAGCTGCCATAAAGGCTGGGAAAAAGCTGGAATGAATAAGGAGGACTAGTTCTAAAGGACCATATGGGAAGAATATCCCATTCATGGAGACAAAAGCAGTTTTCGAGGCTTATAAAACGTAGTGCACGACCAGCTTAACCCTCACGGACTGCTTCTGTTCACGCGCACAATTGTTCGGGGAGGCTGCTTTGCTTCCTTGAAACCCTGTTAGGTTTAGGTACTGTAGGTATTACGCTCCGTTCATGGTGGTGTGTGGCTCAATTGTGCAAGGGCTACGCTTGGGTGAGCTTTCTTACCCCTAAGGCAACTACTTTTGTGCCAAAAATCTCATTAATATAAATCAAATATTTATGTTCTAGGAAACTTTTTTTTGAGAACGGTCGTCTATTTTAACTTACCTTTCCTTTGATGCATCAAAAAAAA